GATAATTATCCTAATTATATTTTATATTTTTTATATTTTAAAATAAGATGTTTATCCTCTATTTGATTATATGAATCCACAATTAGTTATAATAATTCAAAAATCGAGCTTTGATATGTTGTACTTTTGCATAATTACTTGTAATCTTGAATTTTAAGTAAACATTGGTTTTATGAGGTTTTGAGAAAGAGGTAATATTTTTTTTATTTGAATAAAACATAAATTAAAAAATATCATAAAATTTTGAAAAAAAATATCGATATCAATATTAAATTAATATTTTTAAAAGTTCTTTTATTTTGGTGTAATTTCCTTARTTAAAATGATTATCATAATTATATTTTCGATTTTTTATATTTAAAATGAGATATTTATCCAATATTTGATTATGTTTATCTACAGTTAGTTAGACGAATTCAAGTATGGAGCTTTAAAAAGTTGTATTTATGCATAATTTACTTGTAATCTTAAATTTTAAGTAATATGCATCAATAAACAATATTTCGTGCATATATGTTAGCTTAATTAGAAGAGGTAGAATGGATATAAACCTTACCTCGACGATACAAATATGTATGTAATAGGTAATCAAGAAAAATAACAGGATAATTTATTTTTTTATTTTTTTAATTGCATCTATTGGTAATCCATCGGTGATCCGACGTAAATTACTAATGGATTTTTCCATCGGTGATAGTCTATTTTCAAGCAGTGTAAAAATTCCTTTAAGTGTTGGATCGAGTGTCTTTGTATTATTATCAAATCAAATGGTTGAGACAAATAATTAATTTTACAATATTACCAAAGTTTAAAGAGTTACCTTTCCACCTACTTCTTCTTCTTCTAACGTTTTGTATAATAATTTAGCCTCCAAATGATAACTATATATACAAAATGTTAGCTTAATTATTAGTATATTCAGCATCTGATGTATACTAGTTTTGATGTTTTCAATGTCCATAATTTATTGTAGACAATGGTTGTTTACTCAAATGCTTACCCGGTAAGTGTTTACCTATAGGAGTCAACACTATAATTTATTTAATGTGTAAGATTTTAGTACATCAAAACGTATTGAATACAACAATTTACCGGGTAAACGCTTACCTGGATAAGAGTCGTAATCTTCACTTACCGGGTAAGACTCCATCTTTCTCATCGCTCTTACCCGGTAAGATTCTTGGCCATCGTCATGTTCATCCGATGAGAAAATTTATCCAGTAAGCACTTACCAAGTAAGCGTTTAATAAACGGCTCCTAAGTAATGTTATATATATATTTTTTTTTGTAATAACCAAGTTCTAAATTTTGATAAATTAATGAAGTAGAAAGGGTGAAGTTGGAAAGTGTTGTTTCTGTAAGGGTTAGTTATGTAAATTGAAGTTTAAAGGGGAAAGGGTCTCAATTCTCCTTCCATTCGATTGGCTCAAAGTTAAGAGTGTGTGTTTGTGAGTGTGTTCTTCATTTGAGAGAATTGTGGGTGTGAAGGGAAAGCATTGAAGATTGAAGAAAAAAAGGGTTTTAGATCTCCATTTTTCAGGTAACTATCTCATCCTTCTATGTTTTTCTCTTTATTATGGTGTTTTATTTGGGGTTTTATGAGTTAGATGGATTGTTTGATTGGGAGAAAATGATCTTATTGTTCCGAACTGTATGTGGGAGTCGATCTTGTTGATTATTGTTTTGTAATCAATTTCCATGGTGATTGAGTGAGATTCAATCAAAAGCTCTAGGGATATGGACATTTCTTATCAAAAGGGAGTTCCAAATCGAATTTAAAGTTGAGATTGGATTAGAACCTGTTTGAGAATGATTCTACATTGATTTTAGAGGGTTTTGAACCCTAATCGCTGTTGGATATTAGTTGGTTAAGAATTTGGAGTTGTAGGATTCAAGTAGGGACTGTACAGGGGAAAACAGTGGTTCCACCAGGTAGTCCCGCGACCTAGGCCATGTGTCAGGTCGCTTAAGTGGTGGTTTGGGGCTGTATCATGGGTCCTTTCTAAAAAGGAGTTACTAGTAGTTCGTTTAAGGATATAATTAAGGTATTAACTCGTCATTTGGATAACCCAACCCAACCCAATTCAAGTGCGCGTGCGGTTGGTGTGATTCTAGCCCAAGGGTGCATATTTAGGCTTCGCCCTCAGGTGTTTGTTTCCTCTTTGCTAATTTTGCCTAATGATCACTGGTTGTTCATGTTAAAATTGCTTAAATCTTGAATCCATGTTGTGACTTCATATTCAAGAATTGTTTCGATAGCATGAGTTCTTTTTGTGGATGTGTGTAGTGGTGTCTTGATCATGAATTCGTTTTATGTAGCTCATAGTAAGGGCAGGTGTGTAGGCCAGTCGTTTTGTGTGCAACTGTTGCAACGTGTGTCGATGCGTTTCACTACTCAGGTATGCTTAATCGTTGCTGCTCTTGAGATAGAGGGAATTCACTAGACTTTCGGTCTAACCCTCCATTTATAAACTGAAAACCTTTTCAGGGAAGTACCTTGTCGCGAGCTCTAAGAGGAGGAAGATGTGCATCTTGAGGCTTGAAGTTGGCAATTGTCTCTTAGTTAGATAGTTGCCTTCGACTTGAGTTTAATTTTTGTAATATATCTCAGCAGTATTACTTAAATTCTCACTGTAACTCATGAGATGGAATTGGAATTGTAGACCTTTATTCAATGTTTCTACTTGTGGGTCAGGTTATTTAATGTCAATTTTGGAATGTGGTTGTTACATTTTTAGATTTATAAACTCGTTACTTATCCAAATCTCAAATGAAAACCTTCATTTTCACTAAGAACGAGTTGAAATATTGATAGTCTTGAAAGTCAACTTGGGGGGGGGGGGGGGGGGGAGACAATATTGTTGTCATCATCATGAAGTTTATAAGAGCAAAAACCGTATATTTTATATAAAAACATTACAATATAGTGTTAAGACAAAAATGTGCATCGTAATATAACACAAGAAAATCSTTATWTTTTTTGTATTACTTTATAAAAAAAGTTCTTATTAAACTTCTTAAAAATCAAGATGTTGCTCARTGTCGATTTGCCCATTATTTGGCAGAGTTCGTTTATCGTTAATGAACTCAATCTACACAACTCAAAAGATCAAAAGGAACATATTCCTAATTTACCCTTTTAAAAAAACTAGAATGGTACTCGTGCAATGCAGCGAGATACATCTCGATTTTAATGTTCTATTTTATTCTTTATCTTTGTCGATGTTATAATACGACTTTATATGTTTTTAAGAAAGCAATAATGATTTTATTTTTGAATAAAATATCAATTTGAATGAATAAAATATAAATTTGAATATATCATAAAAWTTTGAAAAAAATATCAATGTTAATATCAAATCAACTATTTAAAAGTTCTCATTTTTTATGTAATTTATTTATTTTTATTATAATTTAATTTAAGTTTAATAATATAACATTTTATAAAAAT